ATAAATAAATAAATAAATATATGGGTCAAATAGCAAAAAACATCACGAGAGGCCTCCATGTAATGAGGTAATAGTATACGTAAACGTGTGTAACTAAGTAAGGATAAATAGACAACGAAAACAAACAGAATGAAAGGAAGAAAAAAAAAAAAAAAAGAGCACCAGAATCACAGACATTCATGTCTTCTTTTTATTTTATTTTTATCTTTTCTGCTATTCTCTCCCTCTTTCTTTCTTTCTTTTTTCGTTTTCTTTTCTCTCTTTTTAAAATGATAGCCTTTCTCCCTATCCCTATCACCCTCTCTCTCTTTCTGTGCTTGTATGTCTATACTGATGCCGGTTGAATGATAACACACCAATTCTCCTTATCGTAGTACGACTGTTGCACAACCGCCCCCGCCTCCTCCACCAACTGTTCCAACTCCCCGCTTGCAAACAAGTGATAATACCGTTGATACACCCGCCGGTCCTTATCATGGATCTCGTGCATTTCCCATGGAATGAGTACATCCGCCGCATTATCTCTGGAGCGTTTCTTTGGCTGTTCCTTCGCCCACACACTAATGAGCACACGGCCGTTGGGCTGTACGAGTCGCAGTAATTCTCGCACGGCCGCTACTCGCCCTTCATGAGTAGCGAAGTGATGAATCACGGCAATACTAATAGCAGCATCGAATAAACCACTGCGAAGTGCCGTACGGCGACCATCCGCCCGCAGGAGATCTGTGCGGGCCCTACACGCCGTTGTGAATGTTGTCCTATTGGAATTGGGAGCCAAAGAGGAAGTAGTAGTAATAGTAGTAGTAATAGTAGTAGTAATAGTGGATGGATCCTGTTGTTGTTGTTGTTGTTGTTGTTTTTGGGCCAATCGCAATAGTCCCTCACTGGAGTCAATACCAACAAGATAGCGATAGGCCTCTTCTGTTTCCTCCACGTGATCATTAGAGTTGGCACTACTACTCTCTGTTGGTGGGCGTACACGGTGTTGCTGTGCACATGCAAAGTACTTTCCATTCCCACAACCAACATCCGCCACCAACGCATACTTTGGTAGAGACTCAATAAATGCCTGAACTTTGGGCCACGCTTTATAGCGAGTAGATGAGAAGTGTGCGGCGATGGCATCATACACTTTCAGTACATGTTCGCGTTCCAAGACATCACCTTCAGGCAACGGCGGTGAACTTACGGCCTCATCTTCACAGTTGCTGCTCAACATATATTTTTTTTTCTTTTTTCTTTTTTTCTTTTTGTAGCTTAGTGTTATTCTTAATCTGGGGACACACGCCTTGAAGAGAAAGAAAGAGAGAAAAAAAAAAAAAAAAGAATGGAAAGATTCCCTCCATATTCAATTGATAACTGTAACACTATATGGATGAACCAAACTTTCTCTTATTCTCAGGTATAAAAAATTTTTGATGTCAACATACAAACAAACAGAGAGTGAGTGTGTGTGTGTGTGTGTGTGTGTGTTTAACATAATAAAGAACTTCGATACGTGCACATATACACATTATGTGTATTTGTGTCTCCTGAGATGCCTTAAGGAATCAATAAGAAGACACAATAACAACAATAGCAAAAAAAAAAAACAATAACATAAGGATAGAGAAATTCACATGAGACCTTATTCTCTCATTTACTCTTTCCTCCATTTTCTTCATCTATTTACCAACACGGAGAGATAGATAAATAAATAGATAGATAGAATCATCTCTATTTACCTGTTACCCCCTGTTCCTCGCTTTCCTCTTCATTATCGGTGGATGTGCCCAATGTGCGGGTATCGCGTCTGTTTAACTCTGTCTCTAACCGCTTCATCCTCACACGCACGGCTACACTGTTTCCTCCCACAATCTTCAAAGATCCGACTTCATCAAACCCGCGTTCGTCCTCCACAGAACTGAGAATATCATCCACAATCACCTCCGCAAAGTATCGTACATCCACCTCCGTGAAAAATAGACCAAACAGTCTTTCCAGCAGTCGCTGATGATCACGCTGCAATAGTCCCGGGCGCCAGATGGTAACATGTGTGTTATTCCACACCCGCACAGCATTGCTGTGCAGCAGCATGTCCGCCCGCTGTTGTACATCCGCCTCATTGTGGATCTCATCATCATCATTATTGTTATTATTATTATTATCATTATCACTATCACTAGTACTATTACCGCTATTGTGATGACTGTTCTTTATCTGCTTCTTCGCATATGAGGAGAGTTTACGCCTGTTATCATCTCCATCGCCTTCCTCTTCACCCTCGCCGTCGTGTCGATTGAAGAGTTTGAGCAACTCCACATCACACTCCCCGTGAGCACGGAAGTACGGCAGTGGACTCCACATACTACTTCCCATTACACTCACTTGCGTGAATTGCTGCAGTGTGCCCTCACCCCCTCGCTGTGGTGGTTGTTCAGGCCAAAGTGGAACTGCCGCACTGTGATGATGACCACTATTATTATTATTATTATTATTATTATTATTATTATTATTATTATTATTATTATTATTACTGTTATCATTCCATATATCGGTGGCTGTGTGTAGAGGAGAGTCGTGGGGGAGACGACCACAACAGGCGGCGTATATTTCCCCCCAATGTACACTATCCAACTTCTTGCAATGATTCTCCATTAATATCTCCTCTTCCCAAGTTGGATCTGCATGGACCATACAATTGAAAAGACGGACCATCTTGGCAAATGCAATAGCATATTGATGATCTACAGCATCTACAGCAGCCCGTGTAAAGAATTTCCGGGAACCCAGACAGTTAATAGCTACATGATGACCACTAAAGACAGTTTTGTAGAATGTTGTCTGCAGTAATTCATCGAGAAAGGCCTTCTGTGCATCCGCACTCACAGATGGATCACCCACTACCTTTACATACCCAGTAACACTACCATTAGTAGTACTATTCATACCACTATTACTACTGATACCTCCACTTGTGTTAGTATCGTTATTATTTACACTACTAGAACTACTACCATTCTTGTTCTTGTTCTTGTTATTACTGTTGCCATTCAAGTTACTAAGCATTTTCCCATGAATATCATTACTGTGAGAAGTAGATACACCTTTCATCATCATTTTCTTCTTCTTCCCATTCCTCTCCGAGTCCACATTTCCCACATCGCCTGTTTTGCCTAAATGAACGCCCATGGAAGTTCGAATCTTTTTCCACGTGTTAAGCCACGTTGGAACTTCACTTATAGGCTCACCCGCCCACTGTCCATCACGTAAATAAGACGCCGGTAGACGAGAGGCATCTGCGGCGATTTTATCCCAATCTACTGAAATAACAGAGAGACAACTCAACGCATCACCAGTGTGAATATGTGGAAACTCTTTACGCCAGCGATTGACGGGAATTGGTTTGCGTGAAAGTGCCACAACTCGTGCCACGTCTGGATGTGATACGAGACGAGTAACGAGTTCACTACCGGTACTTCCCGTTGCCCCCGCAATCAGCACAGACAACTGCCTTCCCTTAGATGACATTAAATAAATAAATATATAAATATATATATATATATATATATATATGGTATCTCTTCTTTTTTTCTTTTTCTTTTTCTTCTTGTATGTGATATTGATGCCGCTCTCTGCTCCTATTGCTATCGATATGATCACATGCAGATGTGTAGATATTCGTGTTTTTTGTACCCCAATGAGCAGTGAGAGAGTGGGAAAATAGGGTTAAAAGAAAAAAAAAAAGAAATTAATATTCAAAAATAGTATCAACAGCAACCAAGGGGAGAAGCATCAACTACAGCAGTCCACAATGTTAATACACATGTGTGTACCAACCAAACACACACATGCTTATATATAAATAAACATATATATATAGCATGAGGAGAAACAAAACAACAAAAAAAAAAGACTGCGAATAAGAAAACACATGAGCGCACACAGAATCACATCACAAATAAAAATCCACAAATAAACAGAGACCATTTTTTTTTTTTCTTTTCCTTCTGAGTTGAAGATATTCCAATCCTCATGGTTTTTCCGGCTTCGCTTTCTTTCTCTCTCTCTCTCTCCCCTTCTCTCTACCTTTCTCTCCATACCCACACAAATGAGTTCTTTTCTCGTCGCTACAGACAGACACAAACGTCACTTATGCTAGTAAGCGTATGTATGTATGTATGTATCCTTGTATGTATGTACGTAAAAAGAAGAAAAAAAAAATAAGCGAAAGAACAGAAGTGTGAGGAGAAAAAAAAAAAGTGAGGGGAATGTCTTTCTCTATCTTCTTCTTCTCTCCTTATCTCCCATACAGCATCAGAATCAATTCAGGGAGACGTCCTTTTCGGCGTGTTTGCGCCATGAACGGTGAACAAAAACATAAAAAAAAAAAAAAAAGACAAGATATGAAATTAAAAAAAAAAAAAAGAATCGCATTTGCATTCGAAAAGAAAGAGAAAAAAAAAAAGAAAAGACAAACAAGCAGTAATACGTTAATGATGTACAATTTCTTTTATTGTTGTTTTCTTTCTATTCCTCTTTCTCTCTCTTTGTTTCCTTTTTTTTTTTTTCTTTCTTTCGTTGGTGTAATTTCTCCTAAACCCACGTATACTTGCGTGTGTGGCTGTGGCTCCGCATGTGCGTGTTAGACGAAGCACCACTCTGGATTGTAAATACACAGCAGAAATATGTTCGTTAGCTTTTGACCCACAGTCTTAACAAAATAAAAAAAAAAGAAATGAAGTCAATAAAAGAAGAAGAAAAAGAAAAAAAGGGAATCTGCATGTGCAGATACATGTCTGAATGAATGAATGAATGGATGAATGAATGAATGAATGGATGAGGCAAAGAATTCTTCTTCGTGCCAGTGTAAACAACCGTCACTGGGTTTTTTTTTTCTTTTGTTTCCTTTTTTTTTTTTTTTTT